GGGATTCGAACCCAGGACCTACCACTCTCGCGCGCGATCGCTTAACCCCTAGACCACTGAGCCGACCGGTATCCAACGGTGTTATTGTCTAACTCCAACTAATCCACGAAATTGAGAGACACATCCACTATTGTCTTCAGTGAGTTACTATCTCACAACTGATCTGGTTAAACTCCTCTAATCACTGCTTCTCATTAGAACTCCAGGATATCCATCTTGAAGTCAGTCACTAGTGAGCATATGTTGATTATTATTAGAAGGGGTTTTGCGGAGATGGTAGTAATTTCAATAGTTGAGATCATGAGATCGTGGATGAGTATGCCGAGGAGTCCCACACTAGGACGAAACGGCCGTCTAGTGCTTCCAGGTTTTCCACGGTGGTCTAGCTTCAGTTGACTCATGATCTCAACTATTCAAATTATTACAATCTCCACAAAACCCCTTCTGATAGTTATCCATTTATTTTTTAACTTTGATCTTCAATGGTCGTCTAAGATTATTCTATGATACAAACTATGAAATAAATCTAGAATTTTATTATGCAACAGCTGCTTCAACCTTAAATTATTGTTTACCGAAGGTTATAACTGATTTGATAATTTATTATGCACAAAAGATTAGAATAGAAAAGCTCATATCTAACTCAGGTCATTCATTATTGACTTTATGTAACAATGTTATCGTCTAGTTTGATAATTCTGTTATCTTACGATAATAACCATTGCAAATATCACTGGAAGTAAAGAATAACTTATCTTGATTTAGTGTTAATAATACAGCAGAAAATTTAAAAAATCCCGGAGTATTTTATATTGGTAGCGTTAAGTGTTCTATTTTCAAACAAACTATTCTAATATTACCAAGTGATTGGTCAATGAGTAGTTATCAGTGTTATGTATGCCAGGTTCTTTCCAGTACTGATCGAATTCCATCAATCAAGTTGTAATATGTTCACTCGTTTAATTGACTCAAAATCTCGTTCACTATGTTGAGACATAAGTTGATTGAAGGTAGTCGATGGGTCATTATTTTAGGATCAATTAATTGCAATACATCTCAGACACACATGAGGTCAAACCCTTCTCGAATATTTCATTGAAAGAGCCTTTGACAGTCAGTCAGTAACAACGTAGAACTTCGTACGTACGTACATCAGTTCGAGTTGCCACACCACATTAGCATAGAGATGCAGTGGTCGATTCAAATCCCGTAGTGGTAGAGGTAATAAGAGTATAATCAGTAGTCGGGAAGATTAGTGTTTGGAGATGTTACTTAAAGAGTATAATACAGTGAAATAAATTTGAGAGGAGAAAAAAAGAGACAAGGAGGAATAAGGAGATCAAAATTTGGGAGAACACAAAGAGTGTATGCACCTGCGCCATTGCAAACGATTTTGAGCCATGCCTTTGACAGTGAAGCTGGGTTACACGGGATCGAATCCTTCAGAGTGTCAGCTTCCTCAAGATTACAAATTTACCTTGCAGACGAGTGACAAACAGCACAAGACCTAGGTGTTTGGTTTCTTATCGACTACTCTCAACTAAATAACAACTACTCAACAAGGTTAACGGAAAGACAGTAGAGATTATCAGTCAGTGATTCTATGTTTAAATATCTGGTTATCTAATTATATAAGAATCTTTATTTAAAGTTATTCACAAAGCTAGATGAATTCACTCCAAAGGAAACTGAATAAGAAGTTTTTATACAACTGACGCATTGGCAATTCATCAATTAAACCCTTTACTTTATATATATATATATATATATATATATATATATATATATATATATATATATATATATATATATATATATATATATATATATATATATATATATATATTTATTTATTTATTTATTTATTTATTTATTTATTTAACATATGAAGGTATTTCTGACTAATTATTGGCAACTTAGCTAATGAGGCAGTAACCTTCTATGTGTAAAATATAACTGTGTGCATATAACTATGTATAGAATATAACTATAAACATAGTTGTATGGCTTTAGTAAATCGAATCTAAACCGATAGATATGATGGGATGTAACACACTCGTTTACATGATACTTGGTGAAAAATAGACTTTGATTTTTCAATAATGATAAGTTAAGCGATGTATAAATTCTTACTGATCACTAATTTAAGTGTTTATTCCCAATAAGACTATTTGAGTTACCTCATAACGGTAATGTTATATAGACACATTTTTCGGTACCAAAAGTATTGTAGATATATCTTTATTTTCCAGTATTCCAGTCTTCAGTAATAAGCATAGTAGGTTGGTGAATCTGTGTTAATCCTGACAGATTGCCTTCCAGTGAAGGTTCAGCTTCTCCTTGAAAATAGTCACTGATGGGCCTGATACCACTTGTTCGAGTAAGACGTTCCAATCATCGACTACTCGATGAGAAAAACGGGACCCCATTTTAAGTTTATTAGATCGTGGTTTATGAACCTTCGTGCTATGACCTCGGAGATTATTAGTGCTGGAGGAAACAAAAAGATAAGACATATTAAGACCCAAATCATAATTAAAGATACGAAATGCCAGTATAAGGTCACCTAGCGTCCTACGATACGACAAGGGGCTTATGAACTTAAATGAAGAATCATTCTTCATTAATGTTTCTGTTAAGAGCATTACTTATCCTTCAACAGTAATTTTTAGTGCAAATACGATTGATCATATAATATTCATTTGTATTGATTAATTCAGTATGATTTTTCATCCGTTTGATTATATTATTAATCCAGGGTACTTTGTGTTGATTCTGACAATCTTTTTTCACTAATAATCAATGTATATGAATGAAATAATTTGAATAGTTTATTTTTATTTATTAAAGGGGCATTAAAATATCTATGGTTCATACAATAAAAATGAAATCCCAAAGAGCTAAAGAGTGGAAGATAAGCAATAATAAAATAGGACAAAAATGAATAGAAATAAATCAATACGAGTAAAAAATTAACATTAGTGGAAGAAGTATTTTCGTTAAGAAAAATACAATCAGAAAGGATTATGTCAGTCAAAGAAGTTACCCTCATTGATAAAAAAAGGAAAAGAACATTACAACAGAACCACTACTGGTTGCTGTTCTGAACCAAGTTCGTAGATCCAAGCTTTTGTAGCCCGACTTACATTATAAAGTCATCAAAGATAGATCAGATTAGCATGAACGTCTCTGGGTTTCACTATACGTGAATTGATCTCATCATTCGTGTCACCACTTACACAGCTACCCAGATGCACGAACTTCTTGACCACTTCTATCTACTCACTGCCATGAGTGAGTGCAGCTAAAGAGTCCTACCAGTCTTGTAAAAGTACTTTACACTTAAAAAGTGGAAAGCGTATCTCATACTTACGGAAACTGATTGTATGGGTTGCATGGTTTGGGTATCATCGCAAAGAAAGTTTATATCATCCCCATACTCAGGGTTAAAAAGTATTTCACCAGGTATCAGATCCAAAAATTACCTACATCCATCAAAGCTGTTTACAGGATACCAACGATGGCTAAGTTGAGGAGGAATGGTGAGATTGAGCAACGCCGTCTAACCCCACTGCTAGGTTAATAATCTTCTGTGGTCCTTATCAATAAATCTTATGTACAAGATTGTCTTTTACAGTAGCCACAGTTAAAAAGTAAATGAGCTGTGCTATTTTAGTATCGAAAGGTATCTGAGGATGATTACCGTGATTTCAAGTCATATCAATTTCTAATCGAATTCCTTTCATAAAATGACAATGATCGTATGTTATGCGAAATAATGAGTGATCACTATACGAACTTCACAAAACTTTCAGTGGCTCTTAATCTGACTCCAGGTTGTTCGTGTAAATCATCGTTATTGAAATGATTGCTGTCGAGATATATATGTCGCCAATCCTCGTATATAATCATCGACTTGAATCGCGCTAGTGAATAAAGGAATTAAATAAGCCAAACACGAGGATGATTTTTGAATATATATAATTTTTACACTCATTGATCTGGACAGACAATCAGAGGGACGAAGCGAAATGACGCGCAGTGGAGGTGTGTGAGCCAACTCGATTTAATCAAGCGTTAATCAATATTTGTAGCCGAACAAAAATAAGTTACTGACATGTGATGAATAGGATAAGAAGTGCACAAATACGCTTACATAAAAACAAACAAGGTTGATAAGTGAATAATCAACAAAGTCAAAACGTGACTCAAGAAGAATGAATAGATTGGCTTGTCCGGAAGGTAGAATAAGCTATGTGGGCTTAACATAGCACTACAAACTGAATAAATTCAAAGTAAAATCTTGTTAATAATATACCGCCTTCTTGTAAAATCCTATTAAACTAACGTATTTGTGTATCTGGCTTCGAGTCACAGAGTGTAAGAGCTATTGATACTCCTCAGTTGCCAAGCCAGAGTAAGTGGAAAAGAGTCCGGATCTGTGACTTTTGGCTGAAAGTCAAACGTCTTAACCACTGGGCTACCGTTCTATTGCCCTCTTGTAAGATATCCAGTTAGAAACTTGAAACATCCAACCAATGATCACGATTATCGTGCGAACGCGAACTTCATAGTTTAAACCTACGATCACGGTTCTGGCTATAATTTATTGATTTCATCGACTGGTGCCATGACACTGCTTGGTAGGTTGAATACGTAATATATCTTAATCACCTTAACCGATGAGGACTCACCTGCATCAGTTAATCTTTCACTTTTACTTAGTGTATCTCACGTCCAACCTCATCATTGCTTACTTACTTACTTGTCCCACCATACCGGAACAGTGACACGAAGAAATTACACTACAAATCTCTACTTTCAAATACTGCATTTTTCAGCTATAATGTGTAGCATACTTAGTATAGTATACTTTAATGTCTTCGATTATAAGTTACGAGAAACGCATATTTAATTTCTTAAATTACTTTTAGAAAAAATAAAAAGCACTGAACAACAAATATTGACAGAGTAAGTAAAAAAACAATAACATAAATAATGAAACTAACCAAATTTATCTCGATTAATTAAATCAGAAAATTTACAAAATAAAAAAATGAAACATAAAAATAACCTGTAAGAGAGATAAAAATGAAATTCATACAAATACAAGATTAATTATGTAAGTACATAAATTAAATGGATGGATTCATTAGATAAGTGATTAAATACTAAAACAGTTCATTCAATAGATCCTCTATACTCAACACAACCACAACCCACATTTACTATAGGGAGTTTGAACCGAATATTAATAAAATAAGCACCAATATGTTAAAACATACAAAGAGAAAAGTGAAAAATATCAAAAAGTAAACATGATTCTGTTAAAATCGAAAGAAAGAAAACACAGTGAAGAGAAATATAGGAGATATATATGAAACATAATGAATAATGATTACCAATAATACATAATATTATGTAAAATTACCAAAGAAAATAAACAGTAAAAATAAAGAATATTAGCTTTCTTGATAGAATTAGGTCAAATTAATGTATTAGTTGATTAAGCATAGATAATTAATGAATATAATGATCAGGTTTCTTTATTAATTATAGAACCAAAAAGAGATTATTCACACATTTTAAGAAACGAATGCATATGTCAACTGTGTAGAATGCAAATGGATATTTATTTAATACTTTAACAACAGTCACCATAAGGTTTCGGTTCATTTCGATCAAATTGTATTGATCTACTTGCTAAAGAAGCAGCCAATGCTGCATTATGTCCCTGTTTAACACCATCCCAAACACCACCTGCGCATAACTAAAAAGGTGAGTAAATATAAACAAGAAAAATGTGTAAATGAAACATATTCAATTGTCAATTACTCTTAATTGATAGACAATTTGCTATATTTACACTACTTATGATGAATGAGTTACAATTAGTTAATAGAAAATTACCCAGTTTAGAGGAGATCATAGTTATACACATACTAGTTCTTTGAAGTTATAGATAAACTTACAACAAATGATATGTTCTACTCGAAATGTCAACGGTTTCAAGATACATGTACCATTAAAGAGTTTGCTAGATGAATAATGTTTTCCTTTATACTAAAAAAAATCTTAGAAATAATTACTTTCAGAATATTTTTGATATTAGATAGAGTTTATGGAGTGTACATGTACGTTTACATTCCCACATTAGTTTGTTAGGACTGCATACGAGCAAAACTTGAGTCTATAAAGTCATTAACTATTGGTCTGAGGCATATAAGGGAGATGTAGAGTTCATGATTAAGATCCTCAAGAGAACCATAACACTTGTAGCTAAAAGCCTTTGGTGGAATGGCTTAAAATTAGTGGCAGCGGTGTAGCTCTATTTAGTTTAGAAATCTTAAGCTTAGTATCTGATGTATCTTCGAAGACAACAGATTCCTAAAATGTATTGGGTACCCTACGATCAGGATGTTTATTATGACAATATAGTTGTATTACCTTGTCCGATTACTGACTTACTTGCCCATATTTCCCGTAGGACCAAGGACTTTGAATTCCAGACCAAGACCAATACCTAACACCTATTATTCTAGAGTACAGCCTTCATCGCTTTAACCGATAACCAAACAGAATACGAACGCAGCAAGCAATAAAACTTCCACTGGACACTTCAGTTATAAATCATACGATAATATGTACTAAATATCTGACTACACAGCAAAATTTAGGCGGCATATTCTCCAGAAGGGGTAAAAGACGTAAGTAAGGTAAGCAATACAGCCTAATAAACGGGAGACTACGATGTTTACCTGATTATGCTACAGATGAAAAAAGATTGAATGACAGGCCCATGATTAAATAACAATAACTTAGGCAGGGTAAAGCATACAGAAACGGATTGCTCATTAGCCAGAAGTTTACAAACCGAGGAATATAAAGATATAATAATCCAAGTATTTAATAATTATGGAATAAAAATACAAACAATTATTTGCCGTAGGATAGTTCTGAAAGTCCAAGCTTGCATAAATCCTTTTCGAAATGATAGTAACCTAATATCTTTCGGCCTTAAAATTCTCTTTTCGATCACTTTCCCGGGTGTGGTCAGATATATGAGGGGGTTTTCACTTACCAGTTGCCTACACATGGAACCGTATTTCGTTTTGGCTATTTCTTATCCAATCAGCAGTCAGTCAGTCAGTTACAACGTAGGACCAGACACATACATGCATCGGTCCAAGTTGCCACACCTCAATAGCGCAACAAGGCGAACACCAAATTCATAGAAGTAGTCACTTCAATGGTAGTGATATACAAAAGAAAGATTTTGTACAAGGAAGAAAGAAAAAATTCTTAGAAAAAAGATAAAAACTAATTTTAGTCTCATAGTTTAAGGGAAGACAGAGAGTGCATACACTAACGCCATTGTGATCGATTCTGAGCCATGTCACCAACTGTCTCCAACCACTGGTTACGATAGTCACGATGACCTCAACCAAGTAGTCTACATCTACCAGCATGGCTAAGACTAGAAGTTAGTGACTTCAAGGACTGATGCCAATCTCGGTTTGGCCACCCCTAACTTTCTTCTAGCCACTCCCAACACTAGTCAGCATTACGCGTCGTGGTAATCGGTGTTCAGGCATACGTAACACGTGACCCAACCACCATTTTAATCGATGAAGATTTACAACCTCATCAAATGATTTACTATCATTCCCTAATACCCTGCATCTAACCTCACTATTACTATTTCCCGGTGATCCCAGAAGATCCGAGCAATATTTCTAAGACATCTGTGATTAAATACTAGTAGCTTACGAGTATATTCTACTCTTAATGGCCACGTTTCGCAGCCGTAAAGTAGAACAGAACGAACTGCTGTGCAATATACTCGTCCCTTAATTAATAGACGGATATCTCTCGTTCGCCATAGGCGACGTAAGTTGGTAAAAGCCAAACGAGCTCTTCGAATCCGTGCAGAGATTTCGTCAGACACCAACCCATTAGGGCTGATCAGACTTCCAAGGTAAGTGAAGTTGTCAACATGCTCGACTACTCCACTCCCTATCCTTAGTTCAGGTGTCGACAAAGGCCAGTCCTGAAGCAGCAACACTAGTGGATACCTAGAGAAGACTATGAAATCTCATGTGAAAACTATAAATATACTAATATTTTTCTTATTGTGCTACTTACTTCCATCTACCCTTGTTATTTGGATACAATTTCGTTCATGTTTAACCGCGTTCTGGTTTGGGGACTTGTCGAGTGAATTGATGTCCAAGAATACTAAGCAGTGCCCCCAAATGCCCTGGTATGGTCGAGAGTGGGGTGAGCCCGCCCTCCCTCTCGAAATGCTCTCACGTGGCCACGCGTATACAGCCTTTCCCAGGGAAGTCCTACTCACTGCCTTCTCACACCATGGTGTTGTTTACGAAAATGAGGACGAAAAGCGAATGTCCGGCGCTTTAACCGGATTCCAAATCTATGGTGCACATGGGTTCCAGTATCCTGCGGGAACAAATAGCGTATGAACCAATCGTTGGTCACCGGCTACCATGGGACTGCATCTCCTCACGATAATCCACTGCCTTGTGGGTTAGACCATTAGGTCAAAGGCTCGGGGTGTAGCCCCCTAAGATAACCGCCTGCTTCGGTTTGGGCACCCGGGCAGTATCGCAGCCCACACACAATTAATGAACTGTACTGTCTATGATCATGGAAACTAATTCTCTTGCTTCGACGAACATTTAAATGATTCAATTATTATTATTGCTATCATTATTATTGTTATTATTATTATTATTATTATTATTTACTACGTCATTATTCACCCTCTTTTATTCCTACTCTGTTTATACTTTTTTTTTCCAACTTATACAGCAGCTCGTCTATGGTGGAAATTCGACTGTATCTAAACGTTTTCGAGTCACTGTCCGATTGAAAATTGTATGTTACCACTGAATACGAGGACTGAAGCAGTTTTTCGGAAACCACGTGCACCATTCAAACTGGATGCCCTCAACGTTTGTGTCGCACTAAGCGCTAGAGCTGAGGCAGCACTAACCGACTGGATCCCCATTAACAGTCGGTTTTGTGCTGTTGGATTAGAAAGTTCCATCAAAGTGAGAAGAAATCGGCGTGAGAAACGATGTCTTTTCGTCATCTCCGCCTATGCCCCGACAGATTGCAGCCCGGATGCAATCAAGGATGATTTTTACCACCAGTTATCTGTTCTTCTCCAGAAAGTGCGTTCGACAGATATTGTAGTACTAGCCGGAGACTTCAATGCTCAGGTCATGCGTCTAGGCACAGAAGAGAGTCGTTTAGGTGGCCGATGGGGACTTTTTAGTCGCAGGACAAATAACGGGGACCGTCTACTGCAACTGTGCACAGACCACAACCTGTTTCTGGCTAGCACTAACTTTAGGCACAGTCATCGCCGATATGCCTTACTTTTCAGTGGACAATGAAGTGACCGCCATCAACGGATTGATGTTAGCAAGCTGGTTGCAACTTCTGTTGCAAGTAAGTATCGAACCGAGCTAGCCTCTAGGCTAGCTACCACTCCACCGAAAAGTATAGATGAGCATTGGTTGCAATTGCATGACGCCATGAAAATGGCGGGAACAGTCAGTTGTGGGTTTGCGAAACGTCCCGCTTTAAGCACTGGGTTTCTTCTGGTTCCTTACAACTCATTGAAGCCCGTCGGTCTACTCCGGGTGACCGTGAGTTTGACCATAAACGAAGGATGTTACGTAAGGAAATTGGGCAAAGCTTGCGTAAGGACCGAGAAGCCTGGTGGTCGATGTGTGCTAATGAGCTGGAAGCAGCAGCTGCATCTGGTAACTACCGGAAGCTCTTCCAGCTCATCCGAGCCACTGGCAGCAAGAAGTCTGGTGTGAGTGAAACAATCTGCGAGGATGATGGGATGCCAATCACTAACATCCATCGACGTCTTGGACGATGGGCAGAATTTTTCGAAGGGCAGTTCAACTGGCCTGCTGCTCCGGCAACATCGGTCAGACTGTCCTGCCCTCCATGGCCGGTGACGACTGATCCACCAAACGAGGAGGAAGTCCGCAAGGAACTCCAACTCTTGAAGCGTTACAAATCACCTGGCCCAGATGACTTACCTCCGGCTCTTTTTAAAGATGGTGGTGACTTTTTGACTAAGGAATTGACGACGTTGTTTACAAAGGTTTGGGAACTAGAGAGTGTACCAACGTCATGGAATGAGTCGATAGTTGTCCCTATCTTTAAAAAGGGTTCACGTCGTTCCTGTAACAACTATCGGGGGATAAGTCTACTTCCGATTGCGTCCAAGCTATTGGCTTCCGTCATACTTCGTAGGTTGTTCAAAACCCGAGAAAGATTGACTCGCGAGGAGCAGGCTGGGTTTCGTTCTGGTCGAGGATGTATTGATCATATCTTCACCCTCCGCCAAATGTTAGAACACCGCCATACTTTCAAAGGCCAACAATCGTAGTGTTTCTTGACATCAGGGCTGCCTTCGATTCGTTGGACAGGACTGTTCTCTGGGATTGTCTATTGAAGAAGGGTGTGCCTGAGAAGTTTATTAACATCCTAAAAGCCCTATATAAAACACCTCAGGCAGAGTGAGGGCATACAACCACCTCTCTCCATTGTTCCATTCGAGCAGTGGGGTTAGGCAGGGTTGCCCAATCTCACCATTCCTCTTCAACTTTGCCATCGATGACATTCTGGAAACAGCTCTGATGAATGTAAGTAATGGTGGTGTGGATCTGTTGCCTGGAGAAAGACTTCTCGACCTTGAGTATGCGGACGATATTGTCTTACTGTGCGATAATGCCCAAGGCATGCAATCCGCACTTAATCAGTTGGCAATCAGTGTCCGTAGGTATGGTATGTGCTTTGCACCTTCGAAGTGCAAAGTACTTCTACAAGACTGGCAGGATTCTAATCCTGTACTCACCCTGGATGGTGAGCAGATAGAGGTAGTCGAGAAGTTCGTGTATCTGGGTAGCTGCATAAGTGCTGGTGGGGGTGTGAGTGATGAGATCAATGCACGTATAGTGAAAGCCAGAGCGGCTTATGCCAATCTGGGCCACCTTTGGCGCCTTCGTGATGTTAGTCTGGCTGTAAAAGGTCGGATCTACAACGCGTCGGTGAGAGCAGTTTTGCTCTATGCTTGTGAAACCTGGCCTCTCCGAGTTGAGGACGTTAGACGACTCTCTGTGTTCGATCATCGCTGTCTCCGAAGGATTGCTGACATTCAGTGGCAACACCATGTCAGTAATGCAGAGGTTCGGCATCGTGTGTTCGGGCACAGAGATGATAATCAATTGGTGTCACCATCTTGAAACACCGACTTCGGTGGCTTGGACATGTTCTCCGAATGTCGTCCCAGAGAATTCCACGTCGTGCATTATTTGCCGACTCTGGGACTGGTTGGAAAAAGCGGAGAGGTGGTCAGTGCATGACATGGTGTCGTGGCATGAAAGAAAGCTGCAAAGGACTGGCTTCTGTTGGTCCTTCACGACTCTCTGGTTGGGGTCCGAGAGATGGTGCAACACAGTGGCTAGAGACGTTATCAGATATGGCTCAGAATAGAAGCCAGTGACGATCCAGCTGTAACTTTCTTCTATTTCCTTCATAAAAAATGGATGTTTCTTCCTTAACTGAAAGATTTCTTCTGATTGTACCTTTCCGTTTCCCCCATTATTACTATTATTATTTTTATTATTATTATTACACTACCTTACACCAATCTCTTCGTTATTGTTTTTTCTATTATTTTTTTCACGTTCCTCACTTTTTTTTCTTCTTAAATTCTCGTTGTTTTGTGTGGCGCATATATATTTGGCGCACTCCTGTACCAATATATATGTGTTCAAATAAATAATAATAAATAATACTAAGCAGTAAGAATAGCTGGGTCGTAATAAGAGAAATAACATGAGGTATGGCAACTTGAATGTAAATACGTACCAGGTTCTACGATGTGACTGAGTGACTTTGAATTATTTTTACACCTAGATTTTGTCAACAAATTTAATATTGATTCACATTTTGTGTAATTCAACCTATCGATATCTTTTTGCACTGAGGTGTGAGGAAGTGGGGTGATATTCACTTTTCACATGTTCTAGCCGTCTATGAGTGAATATCCGATTGATACAGTAAATCCTATTTTCAACGGGATCTTTTTTTAATGACTTAAAGGAATCAAGTTAAAGAACAGAGATCCATTTTAGATAGCTTAAAGCATAGAAATCCCAGAAACACACCATAGTATCTTACAAGATATATAGGGTATTCATAACAAGACATGAAAGTGAAAAGTTTCCCTGTTAGATTTATGTGTTTATATGCCCAAATTTGATGCTAATCACATAAATGTATTTATTACCTACTTTTCTACATTAACTTTTTCCAGTGAAATTACTTCGGGACGTGAGATTCTTTTTAGCATTTGTATATTCCGGGTAGATCAGACAAAATAGAATGAGAAAAAGTTTCTATCAACATTCAGGGGCCAAAAACAAACAAATGAAAAATATCTTAAACTTATTGGAAACATACTAACCTCATTGTAACTTCCTTTAATAACATTGGAGTAAATGCCTTCAGCTAGTAGTTCAAAAGTTTTCTCAATATTTTGGCCAGTAAGTGAAGATGTTTCAATGTAGATATAATCACCAAGTCGCTGTGCAAGAGACTCTGCTTCAATTTTGGTAACCTATCGAAATTATGCACACATTAGAGATTTGTATAATAATAAGCAATAATAAAAATGTGAAAAAAACTGTCACTTTGAGATTTTACACATTTTTACCAAGTAGGAAGGAGAAATAAATATACGACAATATCCTACTGACTGAGAGAAAAGATATGAGCGGACATGGAACAAACAGAAAGATGGTATCAAGGTTGGAATTTGGAAGAACGATTGCATCGCCTTTGGTATGACAAATTTTAAAATATTTGTAATGACCTAGTTTAGCACCCTGTAAAATTCAGCCGAGCAACTTACAAATCACGCTTTAGAATAACATTCAATGGCTGAAGAACAATGTAGTGTAATCAGACTACTTAATTGACCAGGATCCATTAGCTGGCCTTAATAATGCCCATTACGTAGGAAAGAGAAATGCCTCACAAATATCTAGACGAGATCTATCAACACCATGATAAACAGTTGTGGTGCATCAAAGTGAACCACTGAGCAATGTACTCCATTTTTTATAGAAATCTCAATAACTGTCACAAGTGGTTTAAGTTGCCATGTGGTCACTGAACAAAACGTCTAGGTAACTATAAACTACTATCAACGAAATAGATGTTATTTGTGATTGTCGCTCATGTTTACTTAGCCAGTCCGTCACAAGAGATAGAGAACCTGGTATATTAGATATAGCTTGCGTTATAAATCTGAAGAATAAAATGCATAGAATGATTTTTAAACTTTGGATCCAAGTAAAGATAAGGAGCGAATCTATCTGCCTGACTGCAAGTGATTTCGAGCAATATCATCTAACGTCGCGTTTATGCTTAATTTTCCTCTTTGTACGATGATACTTTGTGTTATATGTACTTAATGCTTTTTGGTCAGGAACAAAACATCCGTCGCATATACTACCATGAACAAAATTTCGAAATGATCTTAATGGCTGAACTTTTATGTCTTACACAAGTTATACTTGCAAACCGTTTGAATTTGAAACTGCCACGAAATTTTTGGAGCAAAAGGAATAAATTCGATACAATTCTGTGATTCACACTAAATACTTGCGCAGTAGTTGTTCAGTAATTGATAAAATGAATATTTAAACCCAACAATAGTGTTTCCCGACTTCACCACAATCATCGTAGTTTCCCAAATGCAGTATAGATGAGACTTAAAACACCTACTATTGTCTCTGAAGTGTCTGCTCATACTCATACTAAACTAGCTTCGCTGTAATTAGGTTCCAGGGTATTATGTGATGGAATTAATTTATTTAACGGGTGGTAAAAAGCGCAGATGACTTACACGGGATTTTATTTTTGGGTTCTAAAACGGTGTTATCAAAAGACAATAAGGACGATTTACCATAATGCTACCAGACGCCTTTAATAGCATCACAAAATGGAAAAACGTATAGTTTGCAAAATAAGATATTTGGAGATTAGGTGTTTTTTACGTCATCATATTTTTTTAATGGATTAATATCATATCCTAAGAATCAAAACACCATCAATATCAAAAATGATCATAGTAGGACACCAATGAGCTTGATACGAAGATAAAATTTGCTACATCAGCTTACTTGTCTTTCATCACGACGATCAGCTTTATGACCAACTATTATAAACACAGGAGCAGAGCACTTAATTGAACCACGAGCTTCTTCATACCAATCAGCAACATGGTCAAATGTCTCTCTGTCAGTAAGATCGAACACAACTACAACACCAACACAATTGCGATAATAAGACGAAGTTATTGTTCTGAAAGTATAAATTGATATTACTGTTACAACAAACCTAAACTTTTCTTGACCTGCAGTATCCCATAATTGCAACTTAACGAAGACCTCCTCTTGGATTCGAACAGTTCGTGAGAAAAAATCAACTCCAATAGTGGGATCTGAAACAGGAGTGAAATTCCCTTCTACGAAACTTTTCATTAAGGAGGATTTCCCAACCATACTATCACCAATTATGATAACACGAAATTGATAGTCGAAATAAGGTAGCATCTTTTACTGACCAACCAGACATTAAGAATCAGATTTCATGTTATTTTTGAGAGGCTCAACCTCAATAAGATGTGCAAGGATAGCTTTGTGATGGATGAAAGCAAATTGTTAGGAATCTCAGGAGACTATTACGTATTAAGTCGCCAAAGTCAAAAACGATAAGTTTTGTGATAGTTAGGCTTTGAAGGATTTTAAAATACCATGTTCACTTAATCTTCACATAAACCACAATTACGGAAAGGGTTAAGAGACAAAGTCAAATGTAACGCATGAGTTCACGAATTGCGAACTTTCCATTGCTCAATACATTTGGGTCTTCGATAGGAAGTTACATCACCACTAATTTATTTTGATTTTTGAAATCTTGGCATACACTAGTGCAAACCACGGCGTTAAAAAAATCAATAATCTCAGACTACTATACCCGTAAGTCAATCAAAATTTCCCCCTTACTTACGATTTCATCCCCTTAATTTCTCCTTTTCTCGCCTTTATTTCCCTTTAATTGGCTGACTAGGAAATTAATGTGCGGTTAATAAATCCCCAAAATAAATAGCTCTGTAATTTTTCGACATTGCATACTGACCACATGTTTTAATGGACTCACCTAGCTGGAGGCGCTCGGTCATGCATCCGCACCACATCACGAGTGGGAACGCCGTGCTCAACAACAACCACTGCAATCACTAGCCAGATTAGATCAGACGATCTTCACTTTATTGATAGCCTATCAAATATAACTTCGAACCTCCTCGCTTCTGTCTTTTGATTTCTCTTGGTGGGTACAATTCATATTAGGTGTTACTGGTTAAAGCGTTGTCGAACTCCAAATACCTGTGGCATCTTCAGGATCTTTTCTGTTTTAGCGGCAAATAAACCACTAAAATAAATAGTTTTTCATGTTTCCGATATTGATGCTGATTTCATTAGTTTTGCTGAACGCACCTTAACTGAATGCGCCTCGTCACGCATTCTCACCAGATCATGAATGTACACGTCATCCTACACGTCCCTTACAACTGCAAACCAACCAAAACCAAAAGATTCTCGACATATCGACAGCTTTCCAAAAATATATTCTAACCACTCCATTTCTGGATTCTGATTCAAGTGAGTTGATTTTATGCAATTATAAAGGTGTTACATGTATAGCCGTTGCCAAGCTCTTTTTAAGCCGTGGTGGGACTTTCTCGTTCAGTAATTTTTTCGTTTGACTTGTGAGTTTTGTTACGTTGTTAGTGTTTCAGTTGACTTTAACATGTCTTTTTACGTGACGTTTGTTTTGTTAAAGCAGTTGTATATAAAATGGATTAGACCTCATCTGGTTTTTCATGATGGAATGTGCTGCGGATTTGGAATGTGTATTATATCAAGGAGTTAATTCGCCCTGTCTATAGCCATGTGGTAATTGGTTAATCAATCAGTCAAATGCAACGTATAACTCAAACCTATGTACATTAGGATAAAATCGTGATGATAAGTCCCAGAGTTGTAGATGTAGTATTAGTGTCAGTTCCATAACACTAGGAAAAAATGCGGTTCAAGAAGATATAATTTGCCGTGACATCAAAAACTGGCGCTTTTTCCCGGTTTGGCCACCGATAGTGTGAAACTAGCTAACTCCTAAGTCAGAAATAATTGCTCGTCGAGGTAAGTGGTGATTCTTCATATGTAACGCTTGTCCCAACTACCCAAGTTGATAAACACAGCTGAATCAACAAGCGCTTTACTGTCTTAGCCCGGTTCCCTATTACAAACTCAGACACCGCCTTCTCTGCGGACCCAAAATGTATGTGTGATGCCTCAAAGACACCTATCATCGAATACTACCAAACTGCGAATATTCTTTTTTCTTAATGGTCGTGCGACGGAGCGAACTGCTGCACAGTAAACTTGTAATAGTTTTGGTCTTAACCACACAATCCTCAAAGCTGAACATGAGGTAATTGGGAAAATGCATAGTCAAATGAAATCAAGGCTCCAGTAAGCAAAGCAAAGACTACCAATAGAATTAGAGCAAATAATACACAGGAAAGAGAATGATCCATCCAACACTTTTAGGCTATCAACATATAAGCTAGGGAGAGATATGTGCGTAGGTTATTATATGTCATCAAGCATACACGTTCATACAGACACAGTGGTGACCGAAATAATACCGAGAATTGCTACTGTCTGAATAACATTGTCTGTTAAATAAGTTAATAAAACGACTTGACAAAGGTAATTAATCGAAGGAGTGTCGTTATAACTAAACTGACGGAAGATTTAGCAAGGAATGTAACATTTCACTGTCACTGTACATCAGAAGACAGAGTACCATGACGAATGAGACTCAAAAGCATAGCGTAGCGGTCGTCACGCCTGTAGATCACTAACATAGATGATCTATATCGATTAATTGGGGGCCTACTCGAGTTATACGGGAATGGTGTGACCAAAAGCCAACTTCAAAGTCACGCCTCGTGGTCAGCATTTAATATGGTTTACCTCTTCGACGTACCAAGTTACTATGTCTGATTTGAAGACCGTGTAACACAAAGGAAGCTACTACAAAAATTTATTAGTTGAGATAAGTACAAGCGAATTGATACCACCACGATTAACTGATGCGTGCTGGTTGTCCTTGACTTTGGTGGAGAGCGATGCACTGTTTGATATTCAGTGACCCTATTGCCCGATGATCTGGCTAAAGCTCAGTGATGTTGTTCTGACCGTACACGCTCAATAAGTTCACCCATATCATTAATTCATTCTCTGATGCATATTAATCCTTAGGCAACATTTTACATTTATAGGAGAGTGGCTCATACACATGTCTCTAAATGTTGTTGGTTTTTCTTTACTAGACATCACGTTACCTCTGTCAGTTGCTACTTGTTATAGAAAAACTGCATCCAAGATGCGTGTTCCACGGTTAGTGCACGTGAGACTCATAAAGATAGTTTCGAGAGGTTTACTGTAACCCCTCGTTAAAATTGTGCATTGAAATGCAGCAATTACTTAATAAGAGAGCGAAAAGTGATCAACAACACTCGATTCCGCATACACACTGTACATTTAAAAACGGGTAAATAACACTTTTGCTTTACTCAACAGAAACAACTGAAAGTTGGAATCCATCATTTTTACAAGGAAATTAACTGTTCTTGTGCATTACATAAATAATAGTTTGTGGTGGACCAGACAATGTATGAACGTGAAAAGTATCAACAAAGTTATTAAAGATCAATAGTAATATTAATATATACCAGTTAATTGTTACAAACACAATAAAAATTGGGACTTTACTTAAGTTCACCAAATTGATGCGTGTTCAGCTTTAGTCTGGTACAGTAAATCCACAATTCTAAACGCTTGGTAATTCTAATAGGGTTGACGAACTCTCCAGTAGTGTAATCCTACTTAAGGTATGGTATATTCCCACTCACAGTCTATAAAGGTAAGTAATATTTGATTTAGATTTCAGTTAACCCAATCACGAACGAAAATAGATCGAGGAGCGTGTGAGAAGCACTGTATTTGTTAGCCAGCAACAGAATGTCACGCTATGTAGTTACACAACGGAAAGTGTGTTCAAGGTCGTTTACTTAAACAACACGTAGAGTCATTTAGTGATAGATGTACGTACAGTGAGAAACTGGAAAAATAAATACAAATAACAATTAAAACTATTTGCAAAATAAACTTGTCAGTCATATCTCCACAAGTTTAATCAGTGGTGCGCAATATACAATTGTAACGCTATAGTATGCCTCTTAGACCATCGGTTGTTTTCCGTGGGAGTTTACTGGCCACCACAGGAAGACGCAATGAATCTAAAAGTCTCGATTGTCATCAAAAGTTTCTTCCACTGGAAATTCGGGGATTGAATGACCTTAAGCTCAGAGACAACAGACATATATTTTTCAAAGAAGTTGGTTTATTCTTTACTGTTCAAAACAATAATAATTCAGAAACCAGTCATTTTGCACGAAAAGTTCCGCGATTTTATCGATTGGACAAATATTTGGCCAGCTGCTGCTACATTCCACCACTCTCTTGTTCCTTTTCGAGTTCGTCAAGGATATTGTAAAGTTAGTGTACATAAAATTTAACTTTAAGGCTGACAGAATTTGTCAGAAAACGAAGGTTTTCCTCCTGAAAAGTACGCAAATGCCGAACTAATGAAAATTCCCAACTTTTTACATCTCACTCCCTCACACATTAAAAAGCATTGTGATGCCTTAAAAAGTAAGAGTAAAAGTATTCATTTTTGTAAAAGAATTTTGCACCTTATGGCCTTCTGGTTTGAATTCGAATGAAACTGTTGAAAAACATTACCCTGTTCTAATAGTTAACCGCTCCTACGTATTTGCCTCTTCAAATATACGTGACCCTCGTTCCCGTTTTGTAACTCTTCAGGTAAGCCTACAAACAGTCTGAATTTACTTCCATACTCGTTGATCTCAACTTATATATAATGTGCCAATAAAATTTTATGTCTAGATATATCGTATTATTCTGGGGTATACAGTGTCGGTGGGACTCGGTTTTTCTTCAACTTGAAAGACCTTGTTCAAATACAAGTTTGTGTGCATTGTCCAAAGACTAGTAGTATTGCACGACCACTGAAGCCGAAGCAGATGGACTAGGTTTCTATTGGATTCGCCAAATAAATGGCACTGAAAATCACGAAAATAGGAGATTTTTTCTTCCCGAACATTTAAACCAATGCCAAGGTTGGACTTGATTGTTTCAAATAAATTGAGCATTCGGTAGAAAGTTAATAATATGTCTTTTTGTTCTATCCCAATGAGCGGAGAACTTGTATTTCCGGTGTTTTGTGGCAATGTGAACCACTTCTTCAAAGTAAATAAATAACCAGTGTTATTTTAACTTGTGTTAGTTTATTTTGGTTATTTATTTACTCTGAAGAAGTGGCCTAATCACTTAGTTTTATAAGGATTTACCGATTATTTTATTCGAAACTAGTGACTATAATTCACTACACGTCCCTTTTCGCTAATCGTTTTGACAGAACTCATCGTAATTGTTTTAGTTTCAGCAGTGGGTCCCTAGTTTTCATCATAGCTTTTACCTTAGTGGATTTGATATACAATGTCGCATTATTTGCGTAACTGGTCACGGATATTTTGTTTACTCAAATACTGATGTGATTATTTTGTATGGTCCATGTGTTTCTAGACGGAGTTGGATTACATGTTCTAGGACAAAAAACATCCAGTCAGAGTTTTCTCCAGAAGCTATCACTAACACCATGCCTCTATTATCCAGGTTCTAAGTTGCTCATGTTATTTTACCTTTTATTTGGACACATAAATATTGGTACAAGAAAGTGAATAAATGACGTAAATGATAATAATAATAATAATAGTAATGGTAATAATGATGTGAATCGTTTGATTGTTAGTCGAAGCAAGACAAGTATTTTCCATAAATATCAACATTTCATCATATTTGTGTGTGAGCTGTTATACTGCCCGGGTGCCCATACCGAAGCAGGTGGTTTTCTTTGGGGACCACACCCCGAGCCTTTGACCTAAAAGTCTAACCCACAAGGCAGCGGAGCATCGTGAGATGCAGTCCCATGATAGCCGGTGACCAACGATTGGTTCATACGCCATTTGTTGTTTCAAGTTCCTGGAGCCCATGTGCACCATTGGTTTGGGATCCGGTTAAAGCGCCGGACATTCGCTTTTCGTCCTCTCATTTTCGTAAACAACACCCATGGTGTGAGAAGGCAGTGAGTAGGACTTCCCTGGGAGAGGCTGTATACGCGTGGCCACGTGAGAGCATTTCGAGAGGGAGGGCGGGCTCACCCCACTCTCGACCATACCAGGGTATTTGGGGGCAGTTGCTTATGAGTGAAGTCTTTTATGCTAACATACTTTTTCGAGTCAAATAGTAGCCCCTTTTAGTTTACGTTGGTGTTTATATTATCCAAGTAGTGTTCACACAAATCCTAATTCCGAAAATTGAATCAGCATCCAAGACTGTTGTTTACAAACATCATTTTGTTTTTTAAAACTCGCTTATGTTTACTTATTGATATTCTCGCCACGTCCAATTCATCGTATTATGTAGTTACCTAAAACGTAAAAGTCCCTAGTAAAAAGTATGCTTGACAAACTTTATAGTTAAGGATGATGAATGTACAAAAATAGATTGCATGTGAATATTGATGTCTGTACAGTTACTCATGAAACTTTCATTTAAGTACTGTGGGAGGTACACAACTCAAACACCTTAGGTGAATTATTTAATTCTCAACACTCATCCTAACAATCAAATTCATTTAATTTCATAATTGATTGGTCGCTGAATAGTGACTACTATCGTATATGTCAAGTACTTCTTAATGCTGATCGAACTCTGTTTATCAAGTTGATATTTAGCCACCAGTGTAGGTCATTTAATATCGTGTGAACTATGTTAAGATGTAAGATAATGGTTTGAAGTATTCGATTCCAGAACATTCGCGGTTTAAATAGTTCAGTGGCAACGTCTTCCACTGTAGGGCTAGGTGACAGGATCATATCCCCTTTGGAGCACCAGTTCTTTCAAAATTGCGTGTAAGCCTCGCTGACGAGCGCCAAATCTAACGAAGCCTAGGTCCAGAGCTTTTTGTCAATAGATTCAACCACCAATACATCATTCGGCTGTAATTTTCTATAGATCTTGTTGCAATGAGTATACCACAAGGAGGAATCAAATACCAACTATTAATATTCTAGTTTACGTGACATACTATGTTTGATTTGACTTGGGAAACTATCAAGTTAGAATACTTAACTTATACAGTCCGGATTTTTTTTTGAAATAACTGTCGGTTTACGTTCTAGATACGCCTTTCTAACCTTTCGTTGGACGAACATGCTAGAAGAAAGCTTTTACGGCTTGCGATAGGTCCTGGTCCAGGTCGCAATATTGCAACATATGACTGGAATACAGATATCTTAGAGTTAACCTCAGCGAGGTGTCCAACATCAAAGCAGAACTCTGACTTTTTAATATACTTGTTGACAGTTCTTACTATGGAATCAAAAGTAAGCTTGCTTTGGTTTTATATTAAACTTCTGGCTTGTTTAGTGTAATATTTCTATCACTGAAACTACATACCTTTAGGGATTTTGTCTAAGAAGAGACAATAATTTACTTAATGAGTAGTATTTTAGCTGTAATGAATTGCAATTTTAAAAGCTTATAAATGAATAAAAAGGTTTACATTAGTACATACTCTTGCTATCTATCATATTTTTTATTTGTGATACTAGATTTGATTAGTTTCCAAAGGTAACTTTCAACACAAACCAAAATAGTTGTGAGAAACTACGGTTGTTCAAGATTGCTGTGAATCAATTTTGCTTCGATTTTATGTGTTGGAGATGGTAACTGTATTTGATCATCGTTGTCTTCGAAGGATTACTGACATTCAGTGGCAACACCATGTTAGTAATACAGAAATTCGACAACGTGTGTTCGGGCATAGTCAATCATCTACAACGTAAGACCACATATATGCATCGGTCCAAGTTGCCATGCCTCATTAGCACAACAAGATGAACGTCGAATTCATTAAACCAGTTACTTCATTGGTAGTAATATGTAAAAAAAGATTGCATATAAGAATATGTTACAGGGAGAAAGAATTATTCGGGCACAGTCACGATAATCTAATTGTTGTTACGATCCTGAAACACAGAATTCGGTGGCTTGGACATATAATGTGAATGTTGTCCCAATGAACTCAACATTTTATATTATTTTTTACTCAGTTTGATTGTTAAGAGCGGGGAGATGATGAGTCGGCGCTATGGGATGAAAGAAAGCTATACAGGACTGTCGTTCATGACTCCCTAGTTAAGGTCTTAGAGACGGTGCAACAGAGTGACTTGAGATGTTATTAAACTTTTTCCAACCAGCCCCAGAGTCGGAAAAAATGCAAGATGTTGAATTTGTTAAAATGACATTCACAGTACAGATCCAAACCACTGAATTCGGTGTTTCAGGATGGTGACAACAATTGGATTGTCATCACTGTGCCCGAACACACGTTGTTGAACTTCTGTATTACTAACATGATGTTGCCACTGAATATCAGTCATCCTTCAGAGACAACGATTGTCAAACACAGATTCGCTTAACATCCTCAACTTGGAGGGGCCAAGTTTCACAGGCGTAGAGAAAAACTGCTGTCATCGATGCATTTTAAATTCGACTTTTTACAACCGGTTTATCACCACGAAAGTTCTAAAGATTCATCAAATTAGCATAAGCCGATCTAGCTTTCATTATACGTGAATTAATCTCATCATTCACCCCATCATTAGCTCTAACTCAGGAACCCAGATACTCCACCATTACCTTCATCTATCAGCTGTTCCCAGGACACCACTGATGGAAAAGTTGAGGAGTGATGAGGTTAGACAACCTTCCTTAATCTCACTGTCTGAAGGAAATAATAGAGTGAGGTGGTCGTATACTCTCACTTTGCGTGAGCTGTTTGTATATAAGGCTTTCAATATGTTAATAAATTTCCCAGGCACACTCTTCAATAAACAATTCCAGAGAATAGCCATATTCAAGAAGTCGATGGTGGGCCCGATTGTCGAGAAGCACAACGATTTTTGGCCTGCAGTAAGTATGGCGATGTTTTAACATTTAGCTAAGGGTGAAAATATGGTCATAATATCCTCGATAAGAACGAAAATCAATCTGCTCCTCGCGAGTCAATGTTTCCCGAGTTTTGAACAATCTACAAAGTATGACAGAAGGCAATAATTTGAAAGCGATCGGTAGTAGACCTATCCCTTGATATTTGTTGCATAGGTAACGTGAATCTTTTTTAAGATATGAACAACTTTTAGCTAATTCCATGATGCTGCAACACTAATTACCAGACGTTCGTAAATAACAGTCACTTCTTTAACCAAGAGGTCGCCACCATCTTCAAAAAGGGCTAGAGGTAGTTCACCTGGGCCTAGTGATTTGTGGCACTTCAAGAGTTGGAGTTTTTTGCGGACTTCCGCCTCATTAGGTAAGTCATTCTTCATCGGCCATGGAGGACGGGACAGTCTGATCGATGTTGCCGAGACAACAGACCAGGTGGACTGTTCCTCAAAAAACTGTCCGTTGTCCGAGACGTCGGTAAATGTTATTGGTCAGCATCCCATCAGCTTGATAGACTGTTTCACTCACAGCAGACGTTTTGCTGCCAATGGCTTGGTCTATTTTCCTGCAGTTACCAGATGCAGCTCTTGCTTCCAACTCGTTAGCGAGCTCCGACCACCATGCTTCTCGGTCCTTACGCAAACTCCAGTCTTAACAAAGTACAATAGGCGAAAAAATATTTCTCCACAATTACTTTTCAATAAATTAGAGACTTTTTGTAGAAAATAATAAGAATTAAACTATACCAAGTAGTTTCTCGTTAACTTTATTTATCTGAGCAATAAGGTAAGAAATAATAGTTTAACATGGAAAGATGGTTCATCTGTGAATTATTTCATTGTCAACCTGGTGCACTAGCGTGGGGTTGTTTATCGTTCTACATTTTCTATTTTTTTCAACCATAATGGACGATGCTCGGAAATCAGATGATGAATTTGTCTTGTACACGAAATGTAATATTCTCCGCAATAGGAGGCGAAGTCAGCTAGCCTTTGTTAGGTACAGTGTATGGTTGGAGAAGTCTGTCGTCAAATTTCATAGCTAACTCCAAGGTTTACCCAATTGCTTATTTAAAGATGGATTTTTCACAGTTTTGGTTAGTAGCCGTGAATTTTGTAGTTAGTTGTGCTAAGAGTTAGAGTAGATGTCTACTAATGATAGTAGATCACTCCAAACATGAAATGTCTGGAATCACAGTCACTATTAATGATGTAGAGATAATGAAAGAACCTGGTCAGTCGGAATGATTCTGAATTAAGCCACTTAATATCTCTAGTCGTTCAAGTATCTACATCTTACAATACAACTCAAAATAACAATCAGTGATTTCGTGAACTCATCCCATTTCTATTAACAAATTCCGTTAAACTTTTTATTACCTGTTCGTATGTTAGAAAGTACTTCACTTCTGATTAGGTTCTGCCTACGGATGAGTAAAACAAGCCGGTTCTGGTCAATAAAGATCCATAACCACATCAAAGTGATCTACCATTTATATTTAGTATCGTACACCTAACGTCTTCGGGATTACTATGTAGTCTCATAATGTGCGAGAAATGTTTCAAAGCTAAACTTAAATGCTAGCAACCACCTATGTCTCTTTTGAAGGCTGTAACTCAAACAGAACTACCCCTGACTACTACTACTATTACCACTACATGCTAGGGGAGAATATACTTCATAATTTTTTTATTGTTTACGCCCAAAAAACCTGCTACCCCTCGTTCGTTTGTATTTCAGAAAACTGAAAAATGGGAAATAGATAATCCGGAATATGATTGGGTACAATTTGATTGGGATAAAAGTGAAACACGCCGTCGTCTTTTCAACTTACTTTCATTGTGCGATAGTGAACAAGTTATCAGAAATAATCAAATAAAAGAAAGGGAATTCACAGCCGAAGTATGTGAAAATGTTTCTGTGAACAATTTTTTTCGTAAAATTACCAAAAATAATTTTTTTTTCTCAAGTAAGAATGGTTTATTTATTCTGTGAACCGAATGACTTAACAAACATCCAAGTTATAATATAGAAGTAACCAGACTCATATAGCCAAATAAACAAAACATTATGCGAATAACAGTTGACCATTAGAGCAGTCAGTCAGTCAGTAACAACGTAGAACTTCGTACGTACGTACATCAGTCCGAGTTGCCACACCACATTAGCATAGAGATGCAGTGGTCGATTCAAATCCCGTAGTGGTAGAGGTAATAAGAGTATAAGCAGTAGTCGGGAAGATTAGTGTTTAGAGATGTTACTTAAAGAGTATAATACAGTGAAATAAATTTGAGAGGAGAAAAAAAGACAAGGAGGAATAAGGAGATCAAAATTTGGGAGAGCACAAAGAGTGTATGCACCTGCGCCATTGCAAACGATTTTGAGCCATGTCATTCAGGGTCTCTAACCATCGGTTGCTATCATCTCGACGGGAAGTGACACCAGCTTTCATACTCGTAACCATCAGAGTAAATCCTACAGAAAACGAATTAAGACAAACATTCACATACTTCATTGTTTCTGTCTGTGAATTCTGAGGATCATTCTATTTCTCGTCCCTTGATCTTGCTACTACAAAATATTCGGTTTCAGCTTACGTATCTGATGTTTTTCAATCACCTCAATCAATGGCATTTTATAAACTAAATATCGTCTACTGAATATGTATCCAGATATCATTTGAAGAGTCAAGTGTAATGATCAAGTGACCCAATAAAAGCAGAGGATAAACATCCATGATCCTCTATTGCTAAACATATAATTGAAACAGGCCATAAGATTGATCTTAACTCTGCTTTCGTGGTGTTGTATAAAAGTGTAAAAGGGCGTGTACTAAGGTTTGTTGAAGCATTAGCCATACGAAAATTCAAACCCCCTTTGTGTATTCAGAAACAGTTTGTTCTCGGCTTAATTATTTATTATTTATTTGAACAAATAAATATTGGTACAAGAGGGCACCAAATATATATGCGCCACAGAAAACAATGAGAACGGGAAGAGAAAAAAAGAAAGTAAGGAGCGTTAAAAAAGTACAATAATGAACAGATTAGTGTAAGGTAGTGTAATAATAATAATAAAAATAATAATAGTAATAATGGGGGAAACGGAAAGGTACAATCAGAAGAAATCTTTCAGTTAAGGAAGAAACATCCATTTTTTATGAAGGAAATAGAAGAAAGTTACAGCTGGATCGTCACTGGCTTCTATTCTGAGCCATATCTGATAACGTTTCTAGCCACAGTGTTGCACCATCTCTCGGGCCCCAACCAGAGAGTAGTGAAGGAACAACAGAAGCCAGCCCTTTGCAGCTTTCTTTCATGCCACGATACCATGTCATACACTGACCACCTCTCCGCTTTATCCAACCAGTCCCAGAGTCGACAAATAATGCTCGACATGGAATTCTTTGGGACGACATTCGCAGAACATGTCCAAGCCACTGAAGTCGATGTTTCAAGATGGTGAAACCAATTAGATTATCATCTCTGTGCCCGAACACACGATGCCGAACCTCTGCATTACTAACATGGTGTTACCACTGGATGTCAGCAATCCTTCGGATACAACGATGATCGAACACAGAAAGTCGTCTAACGTCCTGAACTCGGAGAGGCCAGGTTTCACAATCATAGAGCAAAACTGCTCTCACCGACGCGTTGTAGATCCGACCTTTTACGGCCAGACTAACATCACGAAGGCGCCAAAGATGGCCCAGATTGGCATAAGCCGCTCTGGCTTTCACTATACGTGCATTGATCTCATCACTCACACCCCCACCAGCACTTATACAGCTACCTAGATACACGAACTTCTCGACTAACTACATCTGCTCACCATCCAGGGTGAAAACAGGATTAGAATCCTACCAGTCTTGTAGAAGTACTTCGCTCATCGAAGGTGCAAAGCACATACCGTACCTACGGACATTGATTGTCAACTGATTAAGTGGGGATTGCATGGCTTGGGTATTGTCACACAGTAAGACAATATCATCCGCATACTCAAGGTCGATAAGTCTTTCTCCAGGCAACAGATCCACACCACCATTACTTACATCCATCAGAGCTGTTTCCAGAATGTCATCGATGGCAAAGTTGAAAAGGAATGGTGAGATTGGGCAACCCTGTCTAACCCTACTGCTTGAATGGAACAATGGAGAGAGGTGGTTTTATACCCTCACTCTGCCTGAGGTGTTTGTATATAGGGCTTTTAGGATGTTAATAAACTTCTCAGGCACACCCTTCTTCAATAGACAATCCTAGAGAACAGTCCTGTCCAACGAATCGAAGGCAGCCCTGATGTCAAGAAACACTACGATTGTTGGCCTTTGGAAAGTATGGGGGTGTTCTAACATTTAGCGGAGGGTGAAGATATGATCAATACATCATCGACTGGAACGAAAACTAGCCAGCCCTATCTGTTGTCCGATCTTCATTAATGTGCGAACGTTGAAGGCAGCCAGTTTGAATGGTGCACGTGGTTTCAGAGTAACTGCTTCAGTATTCGTATTTGGTGGTAGCATTCAATTTTCAACCAGTTAGTGACTCGAGAACGTTTAGATAGAACCGAGTTTCCACCATAGGCGAGCTGCTGTATAAGTCGAAAAATAAGGATACACAGAGTGGGAATAAAAGAGAGTCAATAAATGACGTAAATAATAATAATAATAATAATAATAATAATAATAGTGGCAATAATAATAATGTGAATGGTTTGATTGTTAATCGAAGCAGGACAAGTATTTTCCATAAATATCGACATTTCATCATATTTGTGTGTGGGATGCCATTAGGTTTCAAATTATGTTCACTTTATTATTATTATTATTATTATTAATTATTGTCTCCTCTTACCCCATTTCCAGTCTAGTTGACCCTTTATTTTTATATGTAAATGTTCTTAACAAGTATATGTGTGATCAGATTGTTCGAAATGTATTGCGCTAATCTTCGTCCTCTTATTACATTAGCGTTCGGTTAAGCGAACTGATAAATACATTCAGTTATAATTATTTTCCTCATGATCAAGTTTATGGGTAAATGTTCTCCAGTCCTGCAACACTATTTTACACTATGAATGTTAGACACTAACACCACTGGATGCCTGCTCAGTGGTCCAGTAGGTTAATCGTTCGCGCGCGAGACTGAAGGCTCTTGGTTCGAATTCTGCGAGCAGGATCGTGGATGCACACGGCTGAGGAGTCCCAAAATAGGACGAAACGGCCGTTCAATGCTTCCAGGTTTCCAACGGTGGTTTAACATCAATCGGTTCATGATCTCAATTAAAAAATTAATCTCCACAACCACTATACTGGTAATATAGATTTAGGTAAATCGATACAGTAATTCATGAGGGCATTTATAACATCATTTAGTTGGAGTTATCCTGCACAAAAGTATTAAAACTCGTTATAACAGGTTGTAGATTTCTATAGGCATTTTTCTTTCGAAAAATACACTAATGAATGAAATCGCTATTAGTAATTTAGTCATTAACTATAAGTTAATTAATTGGATTTCCGTCTCCGGCGGTAAGGTCTCAACAAGTACGAAGCTAACATGAGAATTACTCACAAAAAGTTCCTGTGTGACCAACCTCAATCAGTTACACCTTGGGCACTGTGGACACGCTCTCAGGTCACTAAGAGCACCTCTAACCCAATTTCCTTTTCAGGTACCTCCAGAAGGACTCTTCCACGGTGTGAGCAACCGGGAAGTGATAACCGCCCTCATACCTCTGACAACACTCAAGATCACTGTATTCATAATCAATCTCCCTCTTCAATTGCTATTATTACTCTTACCTTGACTTTCAGCTATAAACTTCCTCTTTTGACTTCCTCCTCAAATGACACCATAGCCAACGATTCTATTGCGCGAAACTGTCACAAGTTTACTGAAACCTTCCTCCAAACTACAAATTGGAGCCTTTAACGTACTCACCCTATGTCAAATCGACTAGCAGGCCTCCTCGGCGAAAACCCTAGAATCTTGTACCATCGATGTATGCTGTGTCTCCGAAACACACATACAGGATCCTAGTGTGACTATTCACTTGACCTCACCTCTCCAAAACGGAGAACCGACGAGATACACCCTCCGTGTATCTGGCGACCCGGTGGCTATTTCTGGCAGGTGTAGGCATAGCACTAAGTACAGGGGCAGAACAAGCACTATTAGAGTGGATCCCCGTCAACAGTCACCTATGTGCTGTTCGGCTAAACGGCTCCGTAAGAACTCGGAAGGATTGGGACACACGTCGTCACCTTCTCGTCGTTTCTGCCTACGTGCCCGCTGACTGCAGCCCGGATGAAGTGAAAGATGACTTTTACAGAAAGCTGAATGCTTAGACATAGTACTCGTGGTAGGTGACTTTAACTCCCAAGTGGGTAGCTTAAACGAAGCAGAAAGACATTTAGGTGGGCATTTTAATATCCCAGTTCAGCGAACAGTTAATAGTGATCGTCTTCTGAAACCATGCCCGGACGATCGTCTATTTTTAGCAAGCACTAATTTTAAGCATAAGGAGAGACATCGTCTAGCATGACGACCCCATACACCGAACCAACGATAGACTCAAATAGACTATATTGCCATCGTTGTAGAGAGTCTATAGAAGATTGTCGCTCGTTCTGAAATACCTGCTTGGACTCCGACCATGCTCTAACACGAGTATGCATTTGCTTGCGCCTCACTGGACGCAGAAAAACCACATTAAGAAGACCCATTAGAGTTGAACTCAGTGACGAGAAAGCCAAAAATAGATACCAGGAACAACTCAGGTCACACTTATTTCAGAAAACGAGGCTGATCCGGATGTTACTTGGAAAGATATACGAACAGCTGTGGAAACAGCAGTGACATCTATTAGTTATTTGAACCAAAGGGTTACAAAAAACCAGTGGATTTCTGCTAATTTTATTGCACTGATAGATTTTAATAAACTCATTCCATCGGGCTCTGAACACGATGAAGATTCAAAGCAAATCAGATCTATAGTAACCAAAAGTCTAAGAAACAACAGTGATCAATGCTGAGTAACGAAAGCAAATGAGATGGAAAAGGCAGTGACTGCAGGTAACACCAGATAGCTTTTCGGACTAATAAAAAACTGGAATTAAGAAGTCAAGAGTAAGTCATACGACCTCGGGAACAGACGAAACTTATTTGCTCTCACCCCAAACGTTTAGAACGATGGGCGAAAGACCTTAAGGAGCAGTTCGGCTGTACTTCAGCTACTCTACAACTACCCACCATTCCTAAACAACCTAAATGGAACATTGAAAAAGGTTCCCGGACTGTAGGTGGAATTCAAAAGGCTATAGCTATTCTGAAACGAGGAAGAGCAGCTGGTCCAGATGGATGGCCTGAGTTAACACCTGAACTAAGGATAGGGAGTGAAGTAGTCGAGCATGTTGACAACTTCACTTACCTTGGAAGTCTGATCAGCCCTAATGGGTTGGTGTCTGACGAAATCTCTGCACGGATTCGAAGAGCTCGTTTGGCTTTTACCAACTTACGTCGCCTATGGCGAACGAGAGATATCCGTCTATTAATTAAGGGACGAGTATATTGCACAGCAGTTCGTTCTGTTCTACTTTACGGCTGCGAAACGTGGCCATTAAGAGTAGAATATACTCGTAAGCTACTAGTATTTAATCACAGATGTCTTGGAAATATTGCTCGGATCTTCTGGGATCACCGGGAAATAGTAATAGTGAGGTTAGATGCAGGGTATTAGGGAATGATAGTAAATCATTTGATGAGGTTGTAAATCTTCATCGATTAAAATGGTGGTTGGGTCACGTGTTACGTATGCCTGAACACCGATTACCACGACGCGTAATGCTGACTAGTGTTGGGAGTGGCTAGAAGAAAGTTAGGGGTGGCCAAACCGAGATTGGCATCAGTCCTTGAAGTCACTAACTTCTAGTCTTAGCCATGCTGGTAGATGTAGACTACTTGGTTGAGGTCATCGTGACTATCGTAACCAGTGGTTGGAGACAGTTGGTGACATGGCTCAGAATCGATCACAATGGCGTTAGTGTATGCACTCTCTGTCTTCCCTTAAACTATGAGACTAAAATTAGTTTTTATCTTTTTTCTAAGAATTTTTTCTTTCTTCCTTGTACAAAATCTTTCTTTTGTATATCACTACCATTGAAGTGACTACTTCTATGAATTTGGTGTTCGCCTTGTTGCGCTATTGAGGTGTGGCAACTTGGACCGATGCATGTATGTGTCTGGTCCTACGTTGTAACTGACTGACTAGTTTTGCTTACTAGATCATAATAATTGAAGTAAAAAGATTTTGTTACGTTCGTTTGAGATTTTCGGAAATTAGTTTTTCATCGAAAACTCAATTTGTATGACAGTTGAATGATTAGAATCTATTCACATTTAAGAAATATATGAATGAATTATGGAATTAGAATGTAATTTGTTAATTCTTCATCTACTGTGTGGTTGGTGTTGATTAATTTCATGTCAATGGATTGATACCAAAGAAATTTCGGCCAACTGGACTTTATTTTCATCGTAAGAGAATATATTGCAAGTCGTTTTCTAAGTTTGATTCTGCACACTTGGTAAAATATATAGTTTTGTATTTTACCGTTTACTTCAATTTTCACTCATTTTTTGTCTACGTTCAGTGTACAGAACAAAATGCACAACAGATTAGAATATATAGTAACTTTAAATGTTATTATAAAAATGAATTTTCAAATTACTTTCATTTCATATCTTTACATATGATTACGTTTAGCTTGAATCTAATCCTGCAATTGTACAGTATCGAAAAGCATTAAAATCTATATGGTCTAAAAACGATATACTCAATGGTGACCAATGGGTTAAACGACCTGATCCACCTAAATATCGACATGGTCGTCTTCGACCTATTCGAAATATACCATTCGTGACGGTACCGGGTGCAGATGAAAAAAATAATTTGGAAGAATACGCTTCAGCAACACGAAATCTATTTGGATTAGATACTGAAATACAACAGTCAAATTTGTAGATAGATACTTTAAAAATAATTCATCTTTGATCAAATTATTTGTACATTTATGCGTTTGAACATTTAACCATTCTTTTCTTGAACACTTTAAAATCGATATGTACAATGCCTTATTCGCGTGCTATTAGAATTATGGAAGCGATTGTCCCTTTTCGGCCTCTCATATTGTGGGAAGATGTTTCTTGAGGTTACTACGAAACCCAAAGAACAAACACTTTAGGTCGGTCATAGAAGACCCTTTTATGAGTTGTTTTGAATGTGTTAACTCCATATTTTTTTAATATATCGTATCACCCAAATATCACGTGACAAAATCGCTATTCAAAACACTTGCTTCTATGACCCTGTTCCTGTGCTTAACTAATGACACATCATAAAGCATAAATACCTTTCGGTCTGTAGAATATCTGTATTTTTGATATGATGGGGAAAAAATTAAACCTGATCGTTAGGCGTTAATACCATTGAAAAGAGATGATGATCTTTAGTTATCATGTTTTTCAATCATCTATTTGTTAAATTGTGTCTGATGCTTCCTACATAAGCGTGCTATTCTGTTGAAAAACAACTGGACCTTCTCGCCATCGGTATTGTCTTTGGTGTCAGTTCACTTAAGGGCTTGAATGAATTGTTCCGTCTCGTGAGTAGCCATCACTCAGTCAACGTATCACTCCATTTCACCTATCGATCAATATTGGGTTTTATTCGTTTTAATAACCCCAACCCCGCTTATCAAATTATACAATAAACAGGTAAATTATGGGACACCTAATATAGTGTTGTTCATTTCGACTACTGTTGGCTAATTAATGTTGTACAATATGTCTTTGCGTGTTTCACTTCATACAATATTCAATACGATCATAGAAAAAGATTGAATTGTCATCATTTAAAATCATTTTTGCAATCGACCTGTTTCATATGGGTAGATTGATACTTCAGTCAGTCAGTCAGCTACAACGTAGGACCAGGCACATATATGCATCGGTCCATACCTCATTAGCACAGCAAGATGAACACCGGATTCATAGGAGTGGTTAGGTCAAAGGTGGTAATATATAGGAGAAAGATTGCATATAAGGATACAGTACAGGAAGAAAGAATTAGTTCGTAGAAAGAAAGATATGAAGTGATTTTAATCTCTTAGTTTAAGGGAAGATAGAGAGTGTATACACCGACACCATTGTGATCGATTTTGAGCCATGTCACCAACTGTCTCCAACCATTGGTTACGATAGTCACGCGGACCCCAACCAAGTAGTCTGCATCTACCAACATGACTCAGACTAGAGGTTAGTGTCTTCAAGCACTGATGCCACGTTTTGGTTTGGCCGCCCCTAATTCTTTTTCAACCATCTCTAACACCCGTTAGATTGATACTTCGTCTTAATTGAAATTAAAACTGCTTATTAAGGTTCCAACAAGATCACAAGTTACCGAATTCTTGTTACTAGATGTAAATTCCTTCCTTATAATGATAACCGAGAGTACATTTTTATAACTTATACTTCTTGCTTGACTTGGCCTGTTCTTGATATGGTGAGCCAATCATAAGGTCAGTCACTAGCCATCGAAAGTGACCTAAAGGTGAAGTGCATTTCGTTGGCAAGGAAATGGATTGATTTTTTAAGAGGTAAAGCCGTATATATATGTATATATAAATGAGTATTTATACAATTTATCAGGTGGCTCTATGTACTTTCTTGTCCACTCTTGTGTTCTCCCTCAAGTAATCAGGTTGGGGTTAGAGTGTAGCACGTCCTTGAACACTGATTAGTTTTCACCATTCCTGGTTTTGTTAATTTCACTGTGTTCCAAGAGTATGTTTTGTTGTTATATATGTACCGAGTTGTCCTACTTTAGTTTTGTCGTACTTGAATATTAAACTTTACACTTCCGCTTTCTTGGGTTCTCTTATCTAAAAGTTACCGTTAAAGGATTTGTGCATCAGTTCCCGCGTATCGTCGCGTTCGTATTAAGAGAATCTCGATCGTTCTTATTTAGAATTTACCGTAGCTTCAACCAACACAATCTTAGAGCACAGTAAGTTGACGTTAAAATGGCTTTCGATACCTTTTTTCATACAACTGAAATATTTGATTCTACAGTGACAAAAAATAGACTCATTTATTTAGTTAAGATGTAGTAGCGTATTCTCGACGCAATCAAATTGTCAAAAAACTCAAGGATGAAAAGTAGGTAGTAACTATTTGTAACAAGTACTATTTGCACGTCACGCACATCCATGTACAGTATTTGATGAGCGTATAGATTAATCAAACTGCAGTTCACTTTTGCCTATCTATATCATCATCTCGATCTGTGAAGCTTATAAATAATCTTTCGCGTCAACTTAAGTCTTTGGTTATATCTGGACTGTTCAGCTAACATAGTTCTGAGTTAATTCGATTTGACTACAACCCGGATGAGATCAGTTATAAGTATATAGAACTAAGTCCTGTGTTCTGAATGTGGCTGATTGACCGATAATAGAAGTGATCAAATTATTCTAGATATAATTCTCATGATGAATTCGTATTATTTAGGAAACTTGAGGTATTAAATAATGGGTAATCCTCTATTGTAAGTAGTATCGATCGGCCTACAAGTTTTAGTACCTATCTAACATCAAGTTTGAGATAACTGACGTAATACTATTGAGAAAATGTTATGTAGCCCTAAATTACTGTACACTGTTAATGCCTTAGTTCACTCTTAACTTGTTTGGCTAGTGATATTTTTAGCGAAATGTAAACTGGTTGGACCATAATATCCAATACGGTTTGGCATATAATAACCTTCCTAATAATGTTGATTTATTATGTGAGGTATCCCCATGATCATTCTTCATTTAAATTAGCTTTAACAGTTATAGATCATATTCACCATGTACTGAAATCATCCGAAAAATCGATGAAAATCTAAGAAGCTCCGAACAGCTATTTTGTCTCGGTGTGATGAATCCTTAACAGTGTATTCCTTAAGCATGGAAAGTGATGATCATCTAATGCATCTCTAAGACATTTCTGTAAAGACTTGGCTGTTGCCTTTATTGTACATAAGAAACTGGATGACTGATATTGTGTTCTTCACTTTCAGACGAAATAGAATCGTTAATGATTTTGTTCTGTCAGAGTACGGTGGTTTTCACTTTCAGGTTCCCCAAATCGTTGGAAAGTTCTTCTAGAGGTGCCTGAAAGGGGAATTATTTTAAAGTTGTTCTTCGTGACCTGAGAGCGTGGCCACAGTGCTCGAGGGACAACTGCTTGCGGCCGGTCACAGACCACCTTTCTGTGGCCTCCGTAACTGTCGAGACCTTATCTCCGGAGATGTAAATCCGTAGAGTAAGGTTAAGGTGTGCACTTTCAGGGTCGACCTTTTCTAACCCACCCTTCTTTTGTGGGAAGGCAGCATCGCTATTATGCTGGGTGTCTGAGGGAAAAGTTTTACTGCCGTCACACCTGTGTACAGTCAGCAGTACGACTTCGCCCTCGAACCTTGGGTTTACTGCTTTTATTCTCACCGCTTTTCAACCAACTTGTCTGGTATGGTAGGACCTTGAGGAATGATTGTTCCTGAAAGTATAGCCCGATTGGTTCATCATGATAGGCGGGTCCGACTACCATGTCAAGGTATCAGCAACGGTCAGGAAAATGAAACTTCCGAATTAAATTGTCCCGTCGTAAGAATGGATCATTACCCAAATTTATTAGATTACTGTAAGTTCACAACGCCGTACGAACTCGTATATATTAATTATGATAATGGATTATTTAACCATCTGTTTGTTGACTTCACATATATGTGTATATATTCAACTTCTTTGCCGTTTCTAGTTACTAATAGAATGACTTAAATTTTCTAATTCGTTGACTGGATATTAGCTTGAAATTTCTTATTCTGCTTATCCATTTTGGTCTACTCATAAGTAGTATACTATAGGACTGCATGAAGAAAATCGAAATAGACAAATTTAAGTAAATATATACAGTTAGTATTACATGAATTAAAAAATTCATTAACATTATCATGTAAGAACAGATCTATAACAGACCGAGTTTTTCTATTACTAGGAGAAAGTATGTGAAGTCACAGTACATTGACTATTATTTTTTTAAAAATATCTAGTGTAAATACTGTAGTGGTATGTGCTACTTGTTTCAACATAAGTAGTATATAACACCAATCGGAAATAGAATGCTTATCAGCACAAAGTAGGGAAGATCTAATCGAAGAGAAAGGGAATAGAGTGAGTAATTATTATAGCAATAAGGTAACGATGAAATTTAAGACAATTGATGGAGGATTTGTTAAATGAAGTATAGTTTACACATTTTACCAAAGAACTTGGTAATTTTGTCGTTGTCTCTCACATATATTCTCGTTCACAACATTAATACAATTCAGTTTCATGATAATTTGGAAGACTAGTATTCAAGTGAAATCATGTACGTTAACAGTAATAAGAATCAATCCGTACAAATACAATATATTGATTTTATTCTTTATGAACAGTGTATTGTCTTTCTATAGTCCGACTACTTACTGTATGACTATTATGATGTGATGTTCTAATACCTTGATAATGTTGTTTGCGGTGATGTTGATGATGATTAATATTTTATTTAATTTCCTTGAATTATTATTTGTCAATGTTGATTGTATTATATTATCAGATGAACATTGTACATTATTATTAGTTACTATGGATGATGGTATTTCTTTTGATTGTAATAATCGTTTATTTGTTGATTGATTTCTATGTGAAATTAATCTTTCACTAGATGATAATGGTTTCTTTCTTAAATTTATATGATTCTCAAATGAATCCAATTGTTTATGATGATGTGTTCCACCATTTAATTGTTTACTTATTCTTGATTGTATATCATAATTATTAGAAGTAGTTAATTCAGATAATGATTTTTGTTTAGATTTATTCATTTCTATAAATTGTTGATGTTTATTTCTATGATTACGTAATTGAATTGGTACAGCAGATTGTATTATTTGTTCACCAAATATTGGATCATATATACCACTATCGTTGTGTACATGTTTAGGAGGTAATAATTTTGTATAATTCATATTGTCTATAGATGGATAACTGTTTAATAATGTATTTGATTGTTGTCGATTTAGATTTATTAATGATTGTGGTATATTCAAATCAGTTCTTACCGATGAATTATTATGATGATTAACATGATAGAGAGATTCATCACCTCTTAGACCTGTTAAAGATTTTTGTTGTCCTCGTGCGATTTCAGTAGATTTATGCATAAAACATAAACCACATAATGTTGTTTTACGTCGTGATTTTGAATAAACATAAAGATATATTTGTAATAAAATAAAACCTAATAATTGTACTAATATAACAACTAATAAACATGGTAAATAATACCATGATTCAGGATATTGATAATAATCATACCATAGACCAATCATTATAGAATTTTCTATATAATAAAATAAATAATAAATTAAATATCTTGTACGTGTATACTTTATACCAGCATTGAAAAATTCATATAAACTAATATAAGAATGAAGTAGATCAATGAAGAAATTTTCACAGATATCACCATGCTGTTAAAATACAAAAGAAAAAGTAATAAAGAATAAATATATTATCAGAAGAGGGTTTTTTTTTAGTGGAGATTTTAGTAATTTAATAGTTGAATTCATGAATCAATAGAAGCTGAACCACTATGGAGAACCTGAAAGCACTGGATGGCCAACTCGTCTTAGTATAGAACTCTTCAGAAGTGTACATCCACGATCCCGCCACGCGGGACTCGAACATAGGAACTTCGGTCTTGCGCGTGAACGCTTTGCCTCTAAACTATTGAGACAGCATCCAACGGTATTAATGTCTAATTCCAACCAATTCACGAAATTGCGACACCGTATACGATTGTACGCGCGCGATACTGGTAGGTCCTTGGTTCGAATCGCG